TTTTTTTTTTTGCAGTTCTTGCATCCGAAGGGTATTGTGCGCTGCCCTGTGATGTAGTTCGTTTTTCAAGGTGTCGTGTGCTGATGTGGCACATGCTGGGTTGCATGCCTCTCCTGCCATGTCTCTGTGTGTGTCTGTCAGGTACCTCTTGTTATCCTGCAGCTGTTGCACTCTGTGCTCGATACTACGTCATTAGTTTATTATCTGCATGCGCGTCTCTCGGTAAATGTTTTTTTTTTCCCTTGATGTCCGCAGGGAGACAACAGCGCTGCGCTTCCTTCCATGTTTGTGTTTTCCTCGCTTCCTTACTGGCGTGCTGCACTAGTCGTCTGTGTAAGGAGTCAAATATGTTTGTGGAGGTCTTTGTGGACCCCTTTGTTATTTTCTGTGCCTCGTGTGTTGCACTTCCGCTGGTGTTGGAGCGGGCCTACCTCACGCAGGCTGATGTCGTCGCGTACCTCACGGAGCCGGCGATGCTGTTCGCTGCCGCAGTGCTCGTGGCCACCGTTGCCGAGGCGAAGTTAGCGCGGCGGCGGCAGCGGCGTCCAGTGCCCTTGTCGCTCCGCGAGCGCGTCCGCGCCCGCTGGTATCTCCTCAACGGCGTTGTAATCCACGTGTTGCTGGACGGCCTTGTCGGCGTCTTCAAGGCGAGCACGCTGCTGGCGCGCAACTACGCCAAGCTCGACGCCCGCTACGCCGCTGCGCTTGGCAGCTTCACCGGCTCCGCGGTGCACATCGTGTCGCTGATGGAGTTGTGCGTGAAGGGCCCGCTCTGCCTCCTGCTGTACCGCGCGTACCAGACGAACAGTCCGCACCGCGACGCATTGGAGCTCTTCTCGTGCGTCACGCAGGCGTACGGCACGGTGGTGTATCTCGGGCAGGAGGCGATCAGCGGCATGCCGCACTTTGACGTGGACCGCCAGCTAGAGTTCACCCCGCACTATCTCGTGTACTTTTGGTTTGCGATTGTGCTGGGCTGCGTGCTCTACCTCATCGTGCCGTGCTGGTTGGGGTGGCAAGCGTACAAGCGGCTTGTGGCGGCATCCGCGTCGTCGTTGCCGCATGCTGCTGCTGCTGCTGCTGCTGCAGTGGCCTCTGGGCGGACGGTGAAGGCGCGTTGAGCGCTGATCCCACCGTTGCTCGTTGTTGGCTCATCTCTGAGCGGCAAAGAGGAGTAGGTGGAGGGGGAAGGTGGATAATACTGTTGCATCGCCGCAGCCGTTTGACGTGTGCCCACTGCTGTTTCTGTCCAGCTATCGCTATGCTTCCTACTCGGTATGTGTCTGCGTGCATTTTCTTTTCTTCGTGCTTCACTTGCATTTCTCTGTCTTGAAACCCACCCAATACAAATACGTGCGTGTCTGCGCAGAGGCCCTCTTGGGGATCCACGCAACCGAACTGATGCGGCGCGGGCGGTCGGCGCTCTTGTTGTCACCGAAGTTGTGCCCTGCCGCCACCGGCACAGGCCCCGCCGCCGGAGCACCAAGACGGGGTGCAGTAGCAGCAGCAGCAGCAGCGTCGTCGCGGTCCG